TTTATTACATTAATTAATATTATTCATGTAATGTGTGGTATCATGTTATTATTATTATTATGTATGTAATTATCAGAGAAACGGAGAAAGCACGCAGAGATTACAGACAAAGCATTAAAGGAGCACACAACACAAAAAATAAGTATTTTTTATATGAAAGAATGTTCAATTCTAATGATAATGGTATAGGTTTTACGTTTCTATTCACATTATTCAATAAGTTATGAGCAATTGAAAAAAGACGTGTGACTACACTGGGCCTCAGTCATCGTAATCGCCTATCTTATACGTGTAAAAGTTCCTCGCTTCACACAACGATTTATCCACCTAAAAATTTAATTGACGTAAAAATGTGTGATTTTATGTGTTTAAGACGATGCAAGAATCAGAATTTCAATATGACGTTTAGTTTTTTAAGTATTAAAAATCTTAAAACAGTAATTTTGGTTAAACGGCACGTCATGGCGAGCTGCGCGCGGCGTTCGGACTACGGTCTAACCTAGACCGCCGCGCGGCGCTATCTTATCTAATTCTACGTATTTTACACACTACACTCACATTTATTTATTATTTCGTTATATTTTTAAATTTTGGTTGAATCTATGTATAAATAAATGTGTGTGTGTGTGTAGGTAATATTAAATAGTAAATATAAATTAATCGTGGTGTGTAGTGTGTAAAATACGTAGAATTAGTTAAGATAGCGCCGCGCGGCGGTCTAGGTTAGACCGTAGTCCGAACGCCGCGCGCAGCTCGCCATGACGTGCCGTTTTACCAAAATGTCTCTTTTAAGATTTTTAATATTTAAAAAACTAAACATCGTATTGCAATTCTGATACTTGCATCGTCTTAAACACATAAAATCATACATAGACATACTTAAAAGTCCTTTTCAGGACTAGACATACCTACTTGAAAAGTCCTTTTCAGGACTAGGCATACCTACTTGAAAAGTCCTTTTCAGGACTAAGCATACCTACTCAAAAGGTCCTTTTCAGGACCACCAAATTTTAAAATGCTCTGTTTATTACCTATCTATCACTTACTATACGAAACAAGTATATTATTAGCATTCATACAATTATAATTATTTTTGTTTTTAAATTACATTTATTGTGAATTCTAATTTTGTATGGAGGGAGGGGGGATGATACATTATGTTGCCTCACCGAAAAAATACTACCAGAACCGCCACTGATAAATCGTTGTGTGAAGCGAGGAACTTTTACACGTATAAGATAGGCAATAATATAACAAACAACTTTTCAATAAGGTTTATCGATTCGTGCCGATTCATGGCTATAAGTCTGTCCAAACTAGCTACAAATTTAATAACTTCCGGATTAGAAAAATTTAGAGAAACGAACAAAGTATTCATATCTGAAGATTTTTCACTTGTAACACGTAAGGGTGTATACCCCTTACAAGTACACGGACAGCTGGGGAAAATTAGAAGAAAGAACATTACCGAGGAAAGATGATTTTTATTCAACATTAAAGAAAAAACATATCAAAGATTTGGATTATGAACATGCAACTTCGGTTTGGAGCCACTTTGGCTGCAAAACACTCGGAGAATACAGTGATCTTTACCTCAAAATCGACGTGTTGTTGTTGGCCGATGTATTTGAAAACTTCAGGGACATATGCATTGCAACATACGGATTAGACCCTGCGTTCTATTTTACGGCGCCCGGTTTCAGTTTCGACTGTATGCTGAAGCATACAAAAATCAATTTAGAACTGCTCATTGATTACGACATGCTGCTGATGTTCGAAAAAGGTAACATTTTATATATAAAACAATTATCTTATAAACTAAAATATTATAATATCTTAGGTATACGAGGCGGCCTTACGCAGGCGAGTATGCGATATGGTAAAGCTAATAATAACAAGACTCTTGATTATGATGATACAAAACCTAACTCATGGATTGTATATCAGGACTGTAAGTATAATAAGTAATATTAAAAATAATTATATGTTTAGTAATAATTTTATATTTCAGGTAACAACTTGTATTGATGGGCTATGAGTCAATATATGCCATCTGGAGGGTTTAAATGGGATAATCCTACATTAGATGGATTGCACGACTTGACGGATAAATCTCCTATTGGACGTATGTATGAGGTGGATATCGTATACCCTCAACACCTGCATGACAAGCACAAGGACTTACCATTCCACCAAACAGTAGTATACCAGCGGGCTCAAAAGTGCAAAAATTAATGGCAACCGTAGAGTCTAAGAAGAATTATATTATACACTACCGTAACCTGCAACAAGCTATAGTTAATGGGCTGGTCGTTGAAAAAGTAAATATTTAAAACTAATTTTTGTTATGTATATATAATAAATTTTAAATATTTTGTAGGTACATAGAGTTATCCAGTTCAATCAATCACCATGGTTGGCAAAATATATAAGTCTGAACACTGAAATGAGAAAAAAGGCAGCTAATGAGTTTGAGAAAGATTTCTATAAATTAATGAACAACGCAGTGTTTGGTATGTTATTATTATTATAATTATTACAATTATTATAACTAATGTTATTACTTAGGTAAAACGATGGAGTTCACGCGAAAAAGAATAAAGATGGAAGTAGTATCAGGTGAACGAAAACTTCAGAAATTGATTAACCGTACAACATTCAAATATTGTACGGATTTCAAAAATGAAAATCTAACAGCTGTGACATTGGAGAATAAAATCATAGATTTCTGCAAACCGATTTATATAGGTATATATATATTATTATTATTATTTTTTTTTTTAACAACGGACTATAATTTATTTATAATTACAGGTTTTGCAGTGCTGGACGTATCCAAATCTTTAATGTATGATTATCATTATAACGTTATGCAGGCACCTTACAAGGAAGCTATTCAGTTGATGTACACTGATACAGGTATATTAT